GCGTGATGCGTTTTAAAAAGAAAAAACACGTATTTACACTTTTCGTGTGTCTTGACAATTTAGGTTCGTTCTGTCACTTTTATACGTTGTTTATTCGTTGTTTAGGTTTTCTCACCATGTCCTAATTGTTTTATGCGCGACAAATTATTGTTATTTTTCTTTTACATTATTCTTTGTTTCGTTGTCTTCTTTTTCAATCATTTTTAGCTACCAAATCAATATAAACACCAACAAGCTTTATTACTACGTATATCATAATGCAATTCCAATCCAAATCAATATAAATATCTATACATATGTAACATACATATATATATATATATATTAACTTTCTAAGAACCCTAACCAAACGTAACATGCTTTATTAATATGTCCCGATCATCACCGTAGATGCTTCTTGCATTGATTACGTGCTCGTATCACTTTATATCTATACTATATCTATCGTATATATACTTTTTAACTCTCTAAGAACCCTAACCCACAAATATATACAGTCTGTGCCGTTAGAATTCTTGTTTTGAATGAGTTATTTTAGAATACAATGACTTGGAATGGAACCCTTTTCTTTGGACAGACACAGGCTGGTAGCTGCAACCTTTGTCTCGCTGTGATTTCAGAGCAGACAAATCTTGAAAGTGGGGTTCAGATTATGTTGATTATATACCAAACATAAGTAGTTTGTCTTGTCTAAAAATCTGCATAATCTTTGGCAGTGTGTGTCTTAAGACATAGCTGGTCCAAGTTGGACTATAAATCTTTAACTAGATCTTCCCATGTGGACAACTTGTAAAATCGAATCTAATTATAGTCCTTTCTTAGGACGTATCTATACGACGTCGTTTACTAACATTAAGTAACTTTCTTGTAAAGAAAAGATCAATATAAAATATTTATTGAAACCATCGTAAATTAATAAATTAATCAAACGGTTTAATATATTCGTTCTTTCTGAGATACAGTAGACGAAATAGTTTAATGCATACGAGAATTTGAAATTTGGTTAACCTTCGTACTGACTTAATCGTGTGAGAGCGTTAGAGCAATTTATATACAAAATGAACCTATTTTTTTTTTTTTTATGTAAGAACGAAACATGCGAAGATAAACTTTCACTTTATCTGAGATTTTGTTTTAAGCAAGTAACTTCAGACTCTGTTCGTCTCTTCCATTGATCAAATCATCATATTTTTACGAAATTTTGCCACGATTAATTTTTTAAATTTCTGAGACGAACTTTGACTGTTATCACTTTGTTCAATTTATGTTTGTTATAAAATTTAAATAATACACGCAAATGCTTATGTGTACGTGTATGTGTACGCGTATAATCCATGCAAGCCTATGCGGTAAGAGGGTGCATGGAATGTACATGAAACCCTAATCAATGGCGTCGCTTCAACCATATTTCTATCTGTATCCTAGCACTTCAAACCATCGAGAAAGACAACAGAATGTGCATGAAACCCTAATCAATGGCGTCGCTTCAACCATATTTCTACCCATATCTTACCACTTCAAACCATTGAGAAAAGACAAACAGAATTCAATTTCTGCTCCAATTCAAGCAAGTTCAAGATTATTTGCTACTCAGACACAATAAAAAAATAATATAACTATTATTTCCTCGACACATGGTAAAACACAGTCCAACTACGTCATAAAGTTGGCCATGCAAACGCGTTTTGGTTTGGTAATAAATGATCTTTTCCCAAAGGTGGCGAAAGAGTGACGATGGATCGTATCAATGTGCAATATGTATACACACGTATATACATTACATCAACTCTAAAACATCCCAGGAGCCTTCCCCCCTTACACGTGTCTTCATGCAAACATCAATCTTCCAGAAAAATATGAACGCGGGCTTCCATAATTTCAGCTCTTGTAAACATTACACACACACACACACACACACAGATGTATGTATATTATATAAGATTTGACGTCAACCCAAGTGCCGTTCTTGCCGGTCTTCGACCCTTCAAGCTATGTTAAGCCATAGTTTAGTTTCTTTTCAATATAGTACTTTTTAATATAGTTTAGTTTCAGAAAACCTGCGGCTTGTCCATGAACGATTACTAGGCCAAGTTCATGAACAGAAGATGCATTCGTGTGAGAGGTAACCAAATTAAAGTATCATGGATTTACATACAAATCGACGTAGTGTTACGTATGATGTGTCCGCAGGGAAGGTAGCCTCGTTTGCATATACACTATATTCAAATATAATATATATGTATATAAATATATTAAAACAATATATATACCTTTTGTTACTACCAACATGGATCTTGAATTATGCAAAATTTATGAATTTATAATATTTAATTCAATATAATTTATTATTCTTTAAATCTATTATAATTTAATATTATTATCGACTTATAATATTTAATTTTATATAACTACTAATTTAATTTATTATTTATTAATAAAATTACGATTACTAAATTAAAAATAATCATATTATGATAATACGTTATTATCAACTTATAATATTTGATTCAATATGATTAATAATATAATTTATTATTTATCGATAGAATTACGATTATTAAATTAAAATTTATTATAAAAAATATATTTTATAAAATTAGATATTTTTAACTTAATTTACTATATCTTTATAAATCGAGAGATGTATATATGTATTTTTTTTATAAAGTCTAAATTTTTTGCATATAACTATATATGTTTTAGAAGACAAACACGTGTTATGTTTGCTGAACAGGAGCAATCATTGCCACTATGGTGATTGTCAGCAGAACTCTAGAGAACTCTCATTGTTATATCAATATACACATTATATATATATATATATATATATATATAAACATACGTACTTGGACAGAGTCCAAGGGCGATCATGGAGAACCAGGTTATAAGCTGGTGGCTACCATTAACATCGCTTCAGTGAACTAACTGACATTCATGAGATTATTATTATTATTACTACCAAGTTTATTTTTAATTAGACAAGAGTTAATAATGCAAATCGATTAATCAAAAAATTGTGGGTTCAAGTTTATTTTTTGGTGTATATATAATTTATTAATAAATGTATATATTTCTAATTAAAGAAAAGAGTTAATTACGATGCATAGAATAATAATAGCAAAATATTATTATTATTGTGAAAATAATAATATTTATTATAGAATTTTTAAATGTTAAAATTTAGTAGTAACTTATTTCTTAATTAATTTCGTATTTAATTTTAATATTGATACTTTACATTAATCCTTCTCCTCTCTCCCAACCCAAATATGCTCCATTTCGTATTTTTAGTGTATCTCTATGTTCTAAAATGACAATCTTAGTGCATTTCCCAGGAAGGCCGAAATCTATAACGTTTTACATAGTATAAGGTCTAATAAAGCCCCTCGTCTTGATGGCATTCAATCTTCTTTTTATAAAGCTTATTAGTCTCTTATTTGATAAGATGTAATAGCTTCAATCTTTTTTTCATTAAAGGTATCTCCATAACGAACTCAACCAAACTCATATCATACTTATTCCTAGGGTTTAGGCACCCATACAAATATCTCGTTATCAATCTATTTTCTTTGTAACGTCAATTACAAGATAATTGCTATGATCCTGGGTATTAGGCTCCAACTACTTATAGATAAGCTCATATCCCCATATCAATTTGGTTTTCGTAAAAAATCAACATATTTGGGATAATCTGATAGTTACCTATGAATTAGTAGACTCAATGCGAATTTAAAAAAAAAATAATTATTTCTAGTTTAATGTGATGTGTACGAGCTTATGGTAAGGTAGGATTAGGGTTTCACATCCAAATCCTACAAGCTATGAGGTTTTCTCCTAAAGTGGTTTAATTATTATCGCATTGATTTATTATAGTTAGTTTTCAATTTATGGTCAATGAAACATTAATAAAAGGCACTCCCTCCAACCCCCTAGAAATGCCTCTTATAAGAAGATTTGTTGTCCCTTTATCTATCTATATTAGGTATGAGTATACTTTTTTAATTATTTAAACTAGCAGAAAACCAACATATTATTCACAGGCTAAAATTGTCAGCGTAAGCTCCATTTGTTATGCATTTTCTCTATGTAAACGAACTTATGTTGTTTGGTAAAGTAATTGAGACTAATGTAAATCTTTATCTTCAAATCTTTA